CAGTAGAAGTATCACTGTACTGATAGAATCAAATCTTACCCAGGGTAACTCAGCAGAGAGTATCTCTGTACTGATAGAATAAAATCTTACCCAGGGTAACTCAGTAGAGAGTATCACTGTACTGATAGAATCAAATCTTACCCAGGGTAACTCAGTAGAGAGTATCTCTGTACTGATAGAATCAAATCTTACCCAGGGTAACTCAGTAGAAAGTATCTCTGTACTGATAGAATCAAATCTTACCCAGGGTAACTCAGTAGAGAGTATCACTGTACTGATAGAATCAAATCTTACCCAGGGTAACTCAGTAGAGAGTATCACTGTACTGATAGAATCAAATCTTACCCAGGGTAACTCAGTAGAGAGTATCACTGTACTGATAGAATCAAATCTTACCCAGGGTAACTCAGTAGAGAGTATCACTGTACTGATTGAATCAAATCTTACCCAGGGTAACTCAGTAGAGAGTATCACTGTACTGATAGAATCAAATCTTACCCAGGGTAACTCAGTAGAGAGTATCTCTGTACTGATAGAATCAAATCTTACCCAGGGTAACTTAGTAGAGAGTATCACTGCACTGATAGAATCAAATCTTACCCAGGGTAACTCAGTAGAGAGTATCACTGCACTGATAGAATCAAATCTTACCCAGGGTAACTCAGTAGAGAGTATCTCTGTACTGATAGAATCAAATTTTACCCAGGGTAACTCAGTAGAGAGTATCTCTGTACTGATAGAATCAAATCTTACCCAGGGTAACTCAGTAGAGAGTATCACTGCACTGATAGAATCAAATCTTACCCAGGGTAACTCAGTAGAGAGTATCACTGTACTGATAGAATCAAATCTTGTCCAGGGTAACTCAGTAGAAAGTATCACTGTACTGATAGAATCAAATCTTACCCAGGGTAACTCAGCAGAGAGTATCTCTGTACTGATAGAATAACATCTTACCCAGGGTAACTCAGTAGAGAGTATCACTGTACTGATAGAATCAAATCTTACCCAGGGTAACTCAGTAGAGAGTATCTCTGTACTGATAAAATCAAATCCTACCCAGGGTAACTCAGTAGAGAGTATCTCTGTACTGATAGAATCAAATCTTACCAGGGTAACTCAGTAGAGAGTATCACTGTACTGATAGAATCAAATCTTACCCAGGGTAACTCAGTAGAAAGTATCACTGTACTGATAGAATCAAATCTTACCCAGGGTAACTCAGTAGAGAGTATCACTGTACTGATAGAATCAAATCTTACCCAGGGTAACTCAGTAGAGAGTATCACTGTACTGATAGAATCAAATCTTACCCAGGGTAACTCAGTAGAGAGTATCACTGCACTGATAGAATCAAATCTTACCCAGGGTAACTCAGTAGAGAGTATCACTGTACTGATAGAATCAAATCTTACCCAGGGTAACTCAGTAGAGAGTATCTCTGTACTGATAGAATCAAATCTTACCCAGGGTAACTCAGTAGAGAGTATCACTGTACTGATAGAATCAAATCTTACCCAGGGTAACTCAGTAGAGAGTATCACTGTACTGATTGAATCAAATCTTACCCAGGGTAACTCAGTAGAGAGTATCACTGTACTGATAGAATCAAATCTTACCCAGGGTAACTCAGTAGAGAGTATCACTGCACTGATAGAATCAAATCTTACCCAGGGTAACTCAGTAGAGAGTATCACTGCACTGATAGAATCAAATCTTACCCAGGGTAACTCAGTAGAGAGTATCTCTGTACTGATAGAATCAAATTTTACCCAGGGTAACTCAGTAGAGAGTATCTCTGTACTGATAGAATCAAATCTTACCCAGGGTAACTCAGTAGAGAGTATCACTGCACTGATAGAATCAAATCTTACCCAGGGTAACTCAGTAGAGAGTATCACTGCACTGATAGAATAAAATCTTACCCAGGGTAACTCAGTAGAGAGTATCTCTGTACTGATAGAATCAAATTTTACCCAGGGTAACTCAGTAGAGAGTATCTCTGTACTGATAGAATCAAATCTTACCCAGGGTAACTCAGTAGAGAGTATCACTGTACTGATAGAATCAAATCTTATCCAGGGTAACTCAGTAGAGAGTATCACTGTACTGATAGAATCAAATCTTACCCAGGGTAACTCAGTAGAGAGTATCACTGTACTGATAGAATCAAATCTTATCCAGGGTAACTCAGTAGAGAGTATCACTGTACTGATAGAATCAAATCTTACCCAGGGTAACTCAGTAGAGAGTATCACTGTACTGATAGAATCAAATCTTATCCAGGGTAACTCAGTAGAGAGTATCACTGTACTGATAGAATCAAATCTTACCCAGGGTAACTCAGTAGAGAGTATCTCTGTACTGATAGAATCAAATCTTACCCAGGGTAACTCAGTAGAGAGTATCTCTGTACAGATAGAATCAAATCTTGTCCAGGGTAACTCAGTAGAGAGTATCACTGTATTGATAGAATCAAATCTTACCCAGGGTAACTCAGTAGAGAGTATCACTGTACTGATAGAATCAAATCTTACCCAGGGTAACTCAGTAGAGAGTATCTCTGTACTGATAGAATCAAATCTTACCCAGGGTAACTCAGTAGAGAGTATCTCTGTACTGATAGAATCAAATCTTACCCAGGGTAACTCAGTAGAGAGTATCTCTGTACTGATAGAATCAAATCTTACCCAGGGTAACTCAGTAGAGAGTATCTCTGCACTGATAGAATCAAATCTTACCCAGGGTAACTCAGTAGAGAGTATCTCTGTACTGATAGAATCAAATCTTACCCAGGGTAACTCAGTAGAGAGTATCTCTGTACTGATAGAATCAAATCTTGTCCAGGGTAACTCAATAGAGAGTATCACTGCACTGATAGAATCAA